AAGATACCTGGCAGCTGGAGCAGGGTCTGGGAAGGGCCTCCAAGGTGGGGCTGGAGCCCTTGGGCTGTGGGCAGAGGCTGAGGGAGCTGGGCTTGTCCAGCCCAGAGCAGGGAAGGCTGAGGGGCTCCTCATACCAGCCTGGCAGTGCCAGCGAGGAGGGGATGGAGAACACAGAGCCAGGCTCTTCACAGGGAGCTGGGAGGAGACAAGAGCCAATGGGTGGAAGGGGAAAGAGGGGAGATGAGCCAGAGCATGAGGAGATGAAATGAGTCAGGCTGCTTTCAGCATTTCCTCAACACCAAGAGCAGCCTGACCTCCCTTCTCCATCCACCACTGGCAGTTTTGCAAATCAGGAATGGTTTGAGCTGTTTGCCCCCACTTCAGGATGAGCATCCTGATACAAGAACTTAATTGTGTTTATATCTATTACCACATTTGTCTAAAATTAATTTTAGTATGGAAATCATCTGTGGATGGTGCACTCATCAGATGCTGCTGGGATGTCACACATAGCTCAGGGAAGAGCGTGATTGTTATTAAATGGTGTCCTGTTCAATCATGGTCTGTTGGCCATGAAGAGAAACTTTCTGTGCCTCTGAGTCTCACCAGTTCCTGACCCCCAAAGGACACAAACCTGATGAGTTGTAGTTCCAAATCCAGTGATGGAACTTGGACCTCCTTCCATCCCCAGAGCAGAGCTCCCTTGTCCCAGAAAGTCCCTGGCAATGCAGGGATGAAGGAAACAGGACAGGCTGTGGGGATCAAGGGCAGGGCACAGCCAAGGATTTGGGGGGCTTGTAAGCCCAGGGCAGGACCCAGCCCTTGGCCTTGGTGAACCTCATCCAATTGTCCTGGACCCATGGCTCCAGCCTGTACAGATCCTTCTGCAGAGCTTCCTGCCCTCCAGCACAGCCACACTCCCACCCAGCTTGGGCTCACCTGGGAACTCACTGAGAGTGCCCTCGGTGGCCTCATCCAGATTAGCAATAAAGAGATTGAACTGACCTGGCCCCAATCCTGGGCCCTGGGGACACCCCTGGATGTGACTCCATTCCTCAGCTGCTCTGAGGGCCAGGGGTTGCATGAGGGAAATGGTGGGAATGTGTGTCAGGGATGTGTGCCAAGGCCTGAGCCCCAGCCCCTGGCCAGGCAGATCCTGTCCCTCCCTCCTTGCTCAGGGCTCTTCCCAGGATGGGCACTGGCATAAGGGGATGTGCAATGGCAAGGGCAGGAGCATGGGGCAGCCCCTGCCAGGTTGCTGAGCAGGAACAAGGAGGCAATGAGGCCCCAGGCCTGCAAGGGTCACTTGTCCCCTCATGGCCTCAGGCCCAGGCCCAGCAGCCATGGCCAAAGTGCTGCCCAAGTTGGCTCTGGCATGGCTGTCTTGCAGCTGCTGCCCATCCCTGTGCCCTGTGCAGCCCAGGCTGCCCCACAGTGTCCCTGCCCTGCGCCTCTGTCCCTGCAGGCTGTCGGCATCCCCCAGCTGCCCCACCTGGCTGGGCCCTTCGTTTGCTGACAGCTCTGCCTCCTGCCTCTCTGTCTGCCCACACAAAACCTTGGGCTGACCCAGACTCCTTCTGGGGGATGTGTTGCACCACAGCCCAGTCCTGGGAGGGAAATTCCTTTCTCTTTTTTCCTAATCTGGTCTTCCCCAGGTGCAATTAGCTTTGATTTTTTTCTTTCTCTGGCTGTTCTCTAACATGTTAAAAGGATCCACCATCTCTGAAACCACCCTTCAGTCCCTCCCAGGGCTCTCCTCTGCTGTCCTCAGTCTCCACCCCACTGAGCACAGAGCTCCTCTGTCCCTATACAGTGCTCATGTGCTTGAGGCCATGGGTGCCTGGACACGAAGGACGGTTCTTTTCTACTGGAAGGAAACCACAGAGTCCCAGGGTTTTGAAGGCAGATCAGAGGCAGTCACCAGAGGCCAAGGCAAGCCAGACCTGTCTGTCCTTGCAGCTTTTGTCTGAAAGCAACCTTTGAATATTTGTGTAGTTTTGGAGGCGGAATTCCTTTTCAACCATGGCTGCCTGGACCAGAATGACAGTTCTTCTCCACAGGAAGGAAAGGGCAGAGCCCCAGTGTTTCAAAGGCTGATTAGAGGCAGCCCCAAGGAGGCCAAGGACAGCCAGACCTGTTTGTCTTGGCAGCTTTTGTGTACAAGCAATCCTTGGATAGACAGAGTTTGGGAGGCCAAATTCCAGTTTCGTCCATGGGCACCTGGACAAGAATGACAGATCTTCTCCATAGGAAGAAAAATACAGACCCCCAGTGTTTCACAGGCAGCTGACAGCTGGCCCTTAGGAAATCAAGGGAACCTAGACAGTCCTGGCAGCTTTTGTCTGGGAGCTGTCCTTGAATATAAGGAATTTTGGAGGTGGATTCCCAATTTTGGTTATGGACACCTGGGCTTGAAAGATGTTTTCTTCCATTGAAAGAAAAGCTTGGCCCCCCAGTGTTTTGAAGGTAGATGAGAGGTGGTCCTCAAGAGGCCAAGGCCACCCAGAGCTGTCTGTTCTGTCAGGTTTAATATGGGTACAACCTTTGGATTTAACAAATATGGAGTTAGAATCCCAATGTCAGCCATGAACCCCTGGAGGAGGAGAGTTCTTTCCCACAGGAAGGAAAAGCACAGAACTCCAGGGTGAGATGAGAAGCATCCCTCAACATGCCAAGGTGAGCTGGACCAGTTGAGCCAAGCCAACCAGACCTGTTCAATGTTCTTGGATCCCTGGGTCCTGCAATATGACAATTGCCCCTTGGTTCCATGAGGCCATGTGTTGTAGTTTTACAACAGATCTTTTTCTCCATAGGGCCCAGCAATACCACAATGGTCTCCTTGGATCTGCAGTTTCACAACAGCCCTTTGCTTCCATGAGGCCTTCTGTCCTGTCTCAGCTGTTGAAATGGCCTGGTAAGGCTCTGGATGGCCTTGAGGCAGCCCGTGCTCCAAAGGACGAAAGGAGTCTTCAGGTTTTTCAATTCTTCAGTGTTGTTTATTAATTCCTATCTACAATGTTGTCTCCCGGCCTGACAGAGGTCCTCACAGCAAGTCAGCCATGAGCACACTGACTGCCCTCAGGGCGGCCACTTATTTTTATACCAAAAACTACGTGTAAGATATTTACCTTTTCCCTCCCAATATGTGGATCAGAGCATTTTCTACAGGGGCCCTTGGGGCAAACAGGAAGATCTGGTCTGGCAGGATGTGTAAAACAATCTCCTGTCAGATCTACTTGTTCTCACACAGAATCCTTAGCTGCAGGGACACATTCCCATTGTTCTTGCCCAGGTTTCAGGACTCAGAGTTGTCTTTCCTAGCAGCTGTTCCTTCAGCTGCCTCGGGAGGGCCATTTGGCCTCTGGACCCACACTCTGGCTCCATTATTAGGGCTGCTGGATCCAAACCCTTTATCTTCACAAACGGTGGTGACTGGAGGTGGATCTCCTGTTTTCACAATCGTTCTTAAAATTGCAAGATTAATAATTGTGCTACCCTGTCACGGGATTGAATAATCCAATCCTGATCACTATTGTTTAACAGAATTACTGTAATTTCTCCTGCATATTCTGCATCAATTCCTGCTGCCATGACAGGAACACTTTGCAAGGCCAAGCTCCAAGGGAGCAGTTACCAAAGCAAAGTGTTCTGGAGGAATCTGAATTCCTGTTTCAGTATTGATAGCTCTCATTTGCTTTGAATTTATCCTGATGAATTCCAATGCATGAAGGCCCAGCCCTGCAGCCTCTGGGCTGGACCTGCCAGGGGCCATCACAGCCAGAACAATTTCCCAGGCAGCCCAAGTCTCACTGCCCATGGTTGGATTTGCAAATTGGGGGCAGCCGTGCACAGCCAGGGGTTTCCATTTCCCCAGTGGGCCATTGTGAAGGGCTTGGAGCACATCTGGGAGATGGGTTCTCCATGGGCAAAGGTTCCCATCTCCTCATTTTTTCAACTGCTCTTTTAACAACCCCTTCACCTGCACAACCAATCCTACAGCTCGTGCATAGTCTGGTACATGAAAAACCCTGCAGGCTTAATCACTGTATTTTTCACAGGAACAGACAAAGCACTCTGCATCACAGTATCAGCAAACCCTGTAAAAATAGCCAATTTCCTCCCTTCCTCCTTTTTTCACTGTATACAATCTCACAAAGCTGACCACTGACATTAGGGTCCAGGCCAATCCTGTTCTGTAGGGTATTTAGTGTTACATGCCTGAGCAGCCAAAGATACCAAATTAGTATTGTCAGCACTACTTCATTATTATTATTTTATATGTAGATAGTGATATAGAAATATAGATATAGATAGATATAGACACATATATGTATAAAAATCTATAAATATATATTAAGGTCTTATTTTCCTTTATATACATATATAGTTGGTTATTATATTGATGTTTCACTTGCACAAATGCCTCTGAGCTCAAGATTAAAACCTTCTTCTGTTGCTCCATGTAGGAGCATTCCAACAATAATTGCTTCTTCTGAAGATGCTGTTTCCAATGTACTCTCAACAAATTCATCTCTGTCTGCCCAAACCCACAAGGTCTTTTCCTTTTCCATTTGCATTTTTTTGATGCATTTGAAGCCATCCAGGGGTGCAGCTTCTTTTACCCAACTGCCCCACTACTCCCACAGGGCTCCAACCTCAGCCCACTCCAGAGCCAGGGAACTCCAGGGAAGGGCTTCCCAGCTGGGAATTTCTGATGGGACTGATTCCTCACATTTACATTGAACAAGTGGCATTTTGTTGGGATCTGCCCAGACTGTGCCAGTTTTGTTTTACCAGTGTGCAAAGTCAACACCAAAGACACAGACTCCAACTGAAGGAATCAGTGTCATTTCCTGCAGTTCAGAGCAGCAAAGAATTACAAAAGGAGCAGCTCAGCAATGCACCCAACCATCCCACCAAAGATTGCCTGCAGTGATTAATAAAGATCCAGCAGCATTTACCCTCAGCCTTTACCATCACCCAGATCCCCACAGCAGCTGGGGAAGCTGTCACAGCCAAGGGCTGCAGAGCCACTCCTGGGCACTGGGAATTCCTGCAGGCGCCTCCAGCCCCAGGTGAGGCTCCAACCCCGCTGGGAGAGGGCCCAGCTCTGACAGTGCTGAATGAACAAACTGACAGCACTGCTAGTGTGGCCACATCTGGTTTCATCCTCCTCTTGGGTCCCTCCCAAATCCTGGCCAGGGCTCAAGGAGGAACCAAGGGAAGTGACTTTGACCATACAGCCCCAAACAAGGCCAGATGTCAGATTTCATGGCTTTGTCTGGCTTCTAAATACACAAAGGTCAATACATGTTTCACTAATGAGTGGCTGCATCTACCACAGGGCTCATGACCATGCATATTTCATCAGGGAGCAGATACAAAGATAACCTTTGGTTGGAAGGTTCATCCAGAGGCCACTTTTGGCTCAGGGCCTGCTGTCCAGGCCTCACTCAGGGCTGGTGTCCAGGCCTTGGCACTTCAGGGACGTGGTTTAGTGCTGGGCTTGACACTGCTGGGTGAGCGGCTGCACTGGGTGAGCTCAGAGGGCTTTTCCAACAGAAAGGACTCTGCGATTCCATGATTCTATCCACTGCATTCAGCTGGGGCTATTTTAGCAGCATTACTTTGCTCCAAAAGTTCCCTCTTGCCCAGCTCCTGTGGCCTGAGGCATCAGCTCCTTCAGCTCCTGGTGCTGAGCTGCTCATGCTGAACAAAACGACTTGGAGAGAAGAACACAGTCCATGCAATTCCTTCTGGGACACGGAGAGGGGAGGCTGTGCAAACATGAGCATTGTTTGCTGTGGCCTCCTCTCTGCCCTTCACGCCTTTCAGCACTTTGAACCAGCCAAGAGCTTTCTCCAAGAGTGCAATGGAGCAGCTGCTCCTGCTGCCGGGCCTGGCTCTTTCCAGTCTCTGCCCTTGAATGATTCTGTCCCTCTTGCTGTGCCCTCTGTTCCCCCAGGGCTCGCTGGCTGCTGCCCAGGACTGTGGCACTGGCACAGATCCAATGCTCCAGACCCTCCCTTCTGTGCCCTTGGAGCTGCCTGGGCACAGCAGCCTTTTCCATCTGGAAGCTCCCCATGGA